ACTATCTTTCATACTGAAAGAGGGAATTAGCTTATTGTTTTGTAATATGTACCACTTAGCTGAGGGTGCTGGAAACTGATCTGGGAAGGTAGTTTCTACCTAGCTTTCTGCATGGTTGGGGCCGATACTTCTTGATTTTTGTGTCAATAGTAGTAATACAGAGGCTTGAGATAAATCACACTTTTCCCTAAGCTGAGATAACAAGGTTTAGCTGAGGTGTGTGCCAAGGCATACATGTGTGATCACACCTCATTTCCAGGATGGCCTGTTTTCTTACAAGTTTTCTCAGTAAATATCACTCTGAATGAGCAATGTACCTTTATAAGTGCACTCATAGTTCTGATACCCCTGGTTTAAGCTGAGGAGTTAGGTCATCCACATTCTTTTGTTTACCTTGATCATATGCTAATTATGTTACTGGTGGATTTTTGTACAACCACAGTTAATACAACCTACATAGTTAATCTACTCTTGTTTATTGCAGATTTATTCCACAATGACACACTCCTTTCTGGGTGGCAAGTTACAGTACCAAGCCACACATATCTTTGGAAACTGAACATACTGTATTTTAATACATGCTTCCAGAAATTATGTCACCTTGGCTATAGAGATTCATTTTCATTTTTCACGATTGAGACATTGGACTAACTCATGCCACATACATGAAAATGAGGCTCCATAGCCAAGGTGAAATACATTCCGGAAGGGTGTATTTGACTTTTTTGTAAAATTATTAGCAGTAAACAATTTAAAAAACAAAAATGTATAATTTTAATTGCTATAAAACTTATTTACACTTCAATAAAGTTATCATAATCATATACGGTAATTATTTATATTGTTATGCATGGTATTATAATTAACTAATTCATTTTGTTGTTCTGCATGTTTTTCTGCATGTTGATGCCTCAGTGCCATCTCTTGTGTATATTAAACATATAATTTCTGCAAAATAAAAGATGACATTATTATCATGATACATTATACATCTTTACATCACAAAAATATCATATACACATATGTTAACCCTTCACAAGTGGCAATGTGTCTTGATATGCCTTACTGTATTATTTTAATCTACCTAACGCCAGACAATTTTACTAGTCAAGGGGAGAGTGCAATTACATGATCTGTTTTTACCAAGACCATTGATCTGAGCTTCAAAATTAAGTGTCATGTTTCAATATTCAGCAATGCAATTACATTCCTAACTGCTAAAATATGTCAAACTTAACTATTATGAGCAAATTTCATCATAATTTCTCACAGGCCGTGTCATGGCCAATCGGACATCACTACTCCCAATTATGTTAGAAATCATGGGTGGATTTACTTGGGGGGGGGGGGTTAAACCCCTCTAATAAAGTGTTCAACTCCACCAAAAATTCTGCTTCAACCCTCCTATTTTGTGCGAAAGGCTTTAACCCAAACGCCTAACGCCTGCCAAAGCTCACTGAGTGGTGCTGCTCGCACCCCACCAGAAATTTTTCTACCCCTCCTTTTAAATAAATAAAAATCCGCCCTAATTGTTAGAAATGTTGTAGCATTCCGAATTTACCTCATGATTAGTGTATCAGTGACTCACTTAAATCCCGGCAGCTTGTGGGCAACATTGTTGTTCTTGCCATGTAACTATGACATCATACTGTGTAAAACTATATAGTTTTATATAGTTCTGAACAGACAATGGCAAAATGATATCTATTTTTAGTAAAATTATGAGTAAAACATCTGGATTTAATCTCACAGATTCAGTAAAATAAGAAAGTAGCCAGGGTTCATTGCAGCTTAATGGGCTGACTATATATCTCAGGCTGCTCATTTGCAGATAGTGTAATTAACCCACTGCGTGGCAGCAGGGAGCAGTCTCAATCCCCTTAAAATCGTCTGCAGACAGACAGAGTAAAATAATGACAGTCTTTAGGGCTCATCAGGACACTAGGGCACATGCATTGTCACATGTAGGTGGGCCTCCTCCACGGCTCAACTCTCTCTCTGGTCTTGTGCTTATCTATATATACTAATTCTGCACTGTGATGGGCAAGTATATAAATTTCACACCATATTTAATAAACGTTTTAAAATATACGAACATGTAAACAACCACAATTTTTAGTATAAATTAAAAACTGGCAGTCTGGCAATAAAACCACAAAGGCCATTGCTGAGACAAAACAACAATTTCATGTACACAATGTTTAATCATTAACAATACTTTTATGTCCCCTATTGAAATATTCGCTGTATATATTAGGATGATGAGTTTTTGACATAATATGAAGGGTCTAGTGACTCTAGCCGTCTAGAAAGTTATAAAAAAGTTTCGTGAATCTTACCTGAAAGAATTAGTCTTTCTTTGTAGTCTTTGTGGTGAAATGCTGCATCCACAAGCGAAGCAAACCCGCACCCTTACTCCGCGTTGTAAAACAAGTAATGTTCGAGGGAAATATTAAGATTTTTTAGCTCTCCAAAAACAACAGAAAACTCGAGAGAAAACTTTATATCTAATAATATCGTAAATATTTGCCCAAAAACCAGGGGGGTTAAGGACATCGTCGGAAGCTTAGGATCGCGGTTGGTCAGTGGCAGTTACCATGAAAATAAAGTAAGTGTTGTCATGGAAATGGCGTAATAGCCGCCATGTTTTCGGCTTCACTTGATGATCCCGAGCAGGTCCTCCAGTAATATAGTATAGCTCAGTGGAAAATACCCTGGCTGGGGCATATAGTCTAGGACCTGTATATGAGTTTGTATGCATTTCATTTAGGACAGATAATCTCAACTGTTTTAGGGTAAGTTGACCATGACGGTCAACATGGTAACGCTGCCCGAAACCCAATCCGGGGCGAAACGTCCGAAACCGACCACACCCAAAAACGACGCTTTCGCCATACTGCTATCTACCAAACCATAAAAGCTTTGGCTATTCTGAGGTGCTTATATGGTTCAGAGATGGTACTTTTGGGGGTGGTCATTGGTAAGTGTGAAATGCCTAGCACTAATATTTCACAAGAAAATGGCCGTGCAATAATCATAGTTAAACGTCAATTTGTGTCTTGCAAATTCAGATAAACAGCAGTGGACTTACATTACCTTTTTCCCTAAATCTTTTTGATAGAAACATAAATGGTACTTATTTAAATATATTATCACTGGTTTGGTGGAAAATAGTTAATATTTTCTGACCGAAATAATAATTCGAAATGTGCCTACCTCCTGCAAATGGACGTATTTGGCCAAGTTCTCCACTTTACTCCGCTGTTTATCGGCGATCTCGTCGACATCCTACAAAAAATGTAAATCATCTCAGACATAATGGTATCAAGAACATTTTAAACAAGTTTCAACTTGGTTTCAAGTAGATCATACCTGTTTAACCATCGACAAGGTAAATCCACAACTTTGTCCAAATTCGGCGCCATTTTGTCATCCCATGTCGCTTGTTAACAATTCAGCCTTGTTACTCTTCCATCCAAGCCATTTCCATTCCACTAATAATAAATTTAACCCTTTATAACAGGAGGAAACTAAAAAATCTAAACAAAATACAAGAAATACGCCATTTTATCACCCTGTAAAATGTTGTTTACGAGTCCTTCAAAACATTCCGTACAAATCTCGCGTGGTTTAGCAACAGGGACGTGACAGGGGGGGTAGAGACTTGAAAAATGAAAGGAAAGCCCACACAGTATGGTAAAACCAACAATTAACATTTAATTTGTATGACTTTTTCATATTAATAAATAATAATATGTATATATTTGTCGCTACAAGAAATAAAACAAACATTTGTATGATTGTATTTAGCTTTTAGTCTATTTCACGCAGCCTTCTTCTATCTTCGTGAAATAATTCACCCCCTCCTGTCACGTCCCTGTTACTTTGTCACGCGATATTTGTACGGAATGTTTTGAAAGACTCGTGAGCAAAATTTTACATGGTGATAAAATGGCGTATTTCTTATATTTTGTTTAGATTTTTAGTTTCCTCCTGTTATAAAGGGTTAAATTTATTATTAGTGGAATGGAAATGGCTTGGATGGAAGAGTAACAAGGCTGAATTGTTAACAAGCGACATGGGATGACAAAATGGCGCCGAATTTGGACAAAGTTGTGAATTTACCTTGTCGATGGTTAAACAGGTATGATCTACTTGAAACCAAGTTGAAACTTATTTAAAATGTTCTTGATACCATTATGTCTGGGATGATTTACATTTTTTGTAGGATGTTGACGAGATCGCCGATAAACAGCGGAGTAAAGTGGAGAACTTGGCCAAATACGTCCATTTGCAGGAGGTTGGCACATTTCAAATTATTATTTCGGTCAGAAAATATTAACTATTTTACCCCAAACCAGTGATAATATATTTAAATAAGTACCATTTATGTTTCTATCAAAAAGATTTAGGGAAAAAGGTAATGTAAGTCCACTGCTGTTTATCTGAATTTGCAAGCCACAAATTGACGTTTAACTATGATTATTGCATGGCCATTTTCTTGTGAAATATTAGTGCTTGACATTTCACACTTACCAATGACCACCCCCAAAAGTACCATCTCTGAACCATATAAGCACCTCAGAATAACCAAAGCTTTTATGGTTTGGTAGATAGCAGTATGGCGAAAGCGTCGTTTTTGGGTGTGGTCAGTTTCGGACGTTTCGCCCCGGATTGGGGTTCGGGCAGCGTTACCATGTTGACCGTCATGGTCAACTTACCCTAAAACAGTTGAGATTATCTGTCCTAAATGAAATGCATACAAACTCATATACAGGTCCTAGACTAATAGAGATTATAAATAACACTGTGTTATTTATAATCTCTATGGGCTGGGGCCACTGAGCTATACTATATTACTGGAGGACCTGCTCGGGATCAAAAAGTGTCGCCAAAAACATGGCGGATCTTACGCCATTTCCATGACAACACTTACTTTATTTTCATGGTAATCGCCACTGACCAACCGCGATCCTAAGCTTCCGACAATGTCCTTAACCCCCCTGGTTTTTGGGCAAATATTTAATACGATATAGATATTTAAAAGTGTTCTGTTGTTTTTGAGCTAAAAAATCTTAATATTTCCCTCGAATATTACTTGGTTTACAACGCGGAGCGAGGGTGCGGGTTTGCTTCGCTTGTGGATGCAGCATTTCACTACAAAGACTACAAAGAAAGACTAATTCTTTCAGGTAAGATTCACGAAACTTTTTTATAACTTTCTAGACGACTAGACTGCTAGACTGCTAGATATGAAGGGTCATATTATATCGAAAACTCATCATCCTAATATGTACAGCAAATATTTCAATAGGGGACATAAAAGTATTGTTAACGATTAAACATTGTGTACATGAAATTATGTTGTTTTGTGTCAGCACTGGTCTTTGTGGTTTTATTGCCAGTTTTTATTTAATATACTAAAAATTGTGTTTGTTTACATGTTCATATATTTTAAAACGTTTATTAAATATGGTGTGAAATTTACATACTTGCCCATCACAGTGCAGAATTAGTATATACAGATAAGCACAAGACTAGAGAGAGTTGAGCCGTAGAGGAGGCCCACCTACATGTGACAATGCATGTGCCCTGTCCTGATGAGCCCTAAAGACTGTCTTTATTATTTTACTCTGTCTGTCTAATGCCAGACGATTTTAAGGGGATTGAGACTGCTCCCTGCTGCCACACAGTGGGTTAATTACACTATCTGCAAATGAGCAGCCCCTGAGATATATAATCAGCCAATTAAGCTGCAATGAACCCTGGCTACTTTCTTATTTTACTCAATCTGTGAGATTAAATCCAGATGTTTTACTCATCAAGGGAAGAGTCTTAAAAATAGATATCATTTTGTCATTGTCTGTTCAGAACTATATAAAATTATATAGTTTTACACAGTATGATGTCATAGTTATTGGCAAGAACAAAAATGTTTCCCACAAGCTGCCGGAAATTAAGTGAGTCACTGATACACTAATCATGAGGTAAATTCGTAATGCTACAACATTTCTAACAAGGGCGGATTTTCATTTATTTAAAAGGAGGGGTAGAAAAATTTCTGGTGGGGTGCAAGCGGCACCACTCAGTGAGCTTTGGTAGGGGTTAGGCATTTGGGAATAAAGCCTTTCACACAAAATGGGAGGGTTGAAACAGAATTTTGGTGGGGTTGGACACTTTATTAGACGGGTTTAAACTCCCCGCCCCCCTCAACTGTCAAGTAAATCCACCCATGACTTCTAACATTGGGAGTATATAGTGATGTCCGATTGGCCATGACACAGCCTGTGAGAAATTATGATGAAAATTTGATCATAATAGTTAAGTTGACATATTTTAGCAGTTAGTTAGGAATGTAATAATTGCATTGCTGAATATTGAAACATAAGATTTAATTTTGAAGCTCAAATCAATTACTGGTCTTGGTAAAAACAGATCATGTAATTGCACTCTCCCCTTGACTAGTAAAATTGTCTGGCATTAGGTAGATTAAAATAATACAGTAAGGCATATCAAGACACATTGCCACTTGTGAAGGATTAACATATGTGTATATGATATTATTGTGATGTAAAGATGTACATGTATAATGTATCATGATAATAATGTCATCTTTTATTTTGCAGAAATTATATGTTTAATATACACAAGAGATGGCACAGGAGAGGCATCAACATGCAGAAAAACAACAAAATGAATTAGTTCATTATAATACCATGCATAACAACATAAATAATTATATGATTATGATAACTTTATTGAAGTGTAAATAAAGTTTTATAGCAATTAAAATTATACATTTTTGTTTTTTAAATTGTTTACTGCTAATAATTTTTCAAAAAAGTCAAATACACCCTTCCGGAATGTATTTCACCTTGGCTATGGAGCCTCATTTTCATGTATGTGGCATGAGTTAATATCTCAATTGTGAAAATGAGACCCTATATATAGCCAAGGTGACATTATTTCTGGAAGCATGTATTAAAATACAGTATGTTCAGTTTCCAAAGATATGTGTGGCTTGGTACTGTAACTTGCCACCCAGAAAGGAGTGTGTCATTGTGGAATAAATCTGCAATATAAAACAAGAGTAGATTAATTATGTAAGTTGTACAAAAATCCACCAGTAACATAATTAGCATATGATCAAGGTAAACAAAAGAATGTGACCTATAAACTCCTCAGCTTAAACCAGGGGTATCAGAACTATGAGTGCACTTATAAAGGTATATTGCTCATTCAGAGTGATATTTTAATACTGAGAAAACTTGCAAGAAAACAGGCCATCCTGGAAATGACAGTTTATGTCTGTTTATAAAACGAGACCTCAGGAATCAACCTTTTAAACATTATTACACAGACAGTTTGCACTTTAAAGACCGTCGTAATCCTCGTATATGTGACTGAATCTCGATCAAAGCTTCGTAGTTTGTAACCAAATATTTTGCGATTATTGTTGCTTGTTAAAATTAGTAAACTAGTGGGAAATATTACACTTTGCCATGTGTATTACATAGGAAGTTGTTTTATTAACAAATAGAGTGTCAGTTTCATCGTTATACTTATCATTTTCATGTCAAATAAGGTAAAGTCTAAATATTAAAAAATTGAAATATGAAAATTTGTCTCTTACCCTTTGAACTGATCCATATTCAAGTCTTTTCCCACATTTCTTGAGGTTTTAAATTGTTTGTCGTCTTTCACGGGCGAGAATAACACGTACGACTTGCATATTTTTGTCCAAATCGTCAAAGGTAGAAAATTTATATCGAAAAAATTTTAAAAACCGATTCAAAACCACGAGAACTATAATATCTGCAAAACTTTTTTGCAAAAACCAGGGGGAAGTGAAAACGGCCGTGGGCTCAGAAATGAGCCTGGTCAGTGGTACCTACCATGAAAATAAAGTAAGTGTTGTCATGGAAATGGCGTCATTTTCACTCAAAATCCGCCATGTTTTTGGCGACACTTCGTTGACTATGGCGTTCCGTTCCGGTCAAAATTATTTCAAGTCAACAAGTAATAGTCAAACATTATATCAACATGTTATAACTCTCAATATAATGTTGAAAATATCAAGATGAAGTTCAAACTCAAAAAAATAAAACGAAAGTTTAAAGCATATACTTCAAAACTGCAAAATACATTTCAAACCTCTAAGGATATACATGAAAATTAAACGCAAGTCGAAACTTTTATTTATAATACGAAACTCCCAAATGATAAGTACGGTGGCCCATACGGGCCAACCCTTCTCCGTAGAAACTTGCACCTTCTCCGTACAAATGTGTTGTTATTCCATGGAAATCCAACTTCTCCGTGGAATATTGCAGTTGTTCTGTCACGGAAAGCCTTTTCTCCGTACAAATATGCAGTTTCTCCGTGGAAACACGCATCTTCTCCGTGGAAACACGCAGCTTTTCTGTGGAAACACTGCAGCTTCTCCGCGGAAACGCGTAGCATTTCTGTGAAACACGATGCGGTGGCCCGAACGGGGCACCTCTTCTCCGCAGAAACATGCAGCTTCTCCGTAGAAACACGTGCCTTCTCCGTGGATGAGCACTTTCTTTGTGAATTAAAAAAGGCACGCCCCCCTGAATATTTATTAATTTTATACGACGGGGGGAGTAAGAGAAAATATAGTCACAAGTCAACATCGTGGTCAAAACATTACAAGCCAATTTTATAAATATGAATGCTTTAACATGGGCACAGATATCCAGCATATAAGTTGTGAGAATTGCCAGGCAGATATTTTGATCGTTTATAGCTTTTGTACAATTGTGGAAATAGATACATACTATAAAGTTTTACTTTTTTATATTTATGTTATCAATTTTATTTGTGGATTTATACTTTTATAAATTGAATATTTAATATCCATACCTACACTAGCAGATCCGCATACGAGACTGACTGACAGATTTAATAATATACGTTGTATATTTAAATATTCAATTTATAAAAATATAAATCCCCAAATAAAAATGATAACATAAATATTAAAAAGTTATATTTATGTTATCATTTTTATTTGTGGATTTATATTTTTATAAATTGTATATTTAAATATACACCGTATTTAATAATCTGTCAG